ATGTTTTTGCTTATTATTCTACTTTCAGGGAGATTTGCTCAACTTTGTCACCTCTATTAAATTATTAATTTCTGCATTCATTTATTTAATTTTCATAAGCTCTTTCTTCCACGAATGTTCTTTTTAAAAAAATATTTTATTGATTGATTTGACAGAGAAAGAGAGCATGAGTTAGGGAGAGGAGGAAATGAGCAGAGGGAGTGGGAGAGAGAGGGAGGAGCCGACTACCGCTGAGCTGGGAGCCTGATGTGGGAATCAATCCCAGGACTCACAGATGTTGACTTGAGCTAAAGGCAGGTGCTTAACTGACTGAGCCACCCTGGTGTCCCATGAGTGTTTTTTCTATAGCACTATTTTTTTTTTTTTAACTTTCACAAATACATTATCTTGTATCATGCTAATTTAGGCTTTCTTTTTCTTTTTTTTCTTTTTTTTTTAAAGATTTTATTTATTCACTTAACAGACAGAGATCACAAGTAGGCAGAGAGGCAGGCAGAGAGAGAGGGGAAGCAGGCTCCCTGCTGAGCAGAGAGCCCGATGCGTGGCTTGATCCCAGGACCCTGAGATCATGACCTGAGCCGAAGGCAGAGGCTTTAACCGTCTGAGCCAGGCGCCCCTAGGCTTTCTTTTAAAAATTGTATTCTGCTTCTCTCTTTTTCCTCTAGTTTTTTTTTTTTTTTTTTTTTTCCGGTTTATTTTTGGTCTCTGCTTTTATGTGAAAAGTCTTTCTAAAATATTTGGTGATCCTTACCTATCCATTTACATTTAAAAGTGAGGCACTTAAGGGGTGTGTGTTACCATGCATGGAAGCTTGTTGACCGGTAGACTGTACTGTGAGGGGATGGGACAGGTATCTGGCTATTTCCTACTGTTTTGTCAATACTTCTGGACTTTCTGTTAGGCTGATTAGTTTCTCTAGACAGGAAAGCTTAACTTTTAACCTGAAGGTACACCCAATTGTATGATGGATGGAGGACAGAAAGGGGTTGGTTTGTGGCGGTGAGTTCTCACTGTTCGAAATATAGATTTTTTTGCTTTTCCTGCCAATTTTCATTACATTTAACTTGGTCTTTGTTATGGCAGGTGTCTCTGAGTTTAGAATACCTTATTTTGACCTCTGTGGGTCAGAGCTGGGAAGGAATTCAGTTACTTTTAACATGAACTTCAGGGGCCCCTGGGTGTCTCAGTCATGAAGCATCTGCCTTCAGCTCTAGTCATGATCCCATCCTCCTGGGATTGAGCCCCGAGTTGGGCTCCCTGCTCAGCGGGGAGCCTGCTTCTCCCACTCCAGTTTTCCTGTGCTTGTGTTCCCTCTCTCACTGTCTCTCTCTGTCAAACAAATAAATAAAATCTTCAAAAAAAATAAATAAAATGAACTTCAACCAAATCTATTTTAGCCCTCCCCTCACCCTCATCTTCAAGGGTTCTTAGTGATTCCAAATTCCAAATGTTTGTGTAGTTCTAATGTGAATTAGTTTGTATCTCAATCTCCTGCAGGCTGTTAGGTTTCAACTTTCTCTTTTCTTCTAAGCTGATTACTTCTAATCTACTGGGATCTCTGAAGGGGATTCCGATAATGGCATTCCTTCTTTGATGCAGGGGTCCTGAACAAGTCGAGAAATAAATCAATAAGGCAAATATGGAGGTACACATACCACCTTTATTACTGTTAGAGGCCAGATTGGAGGTGTACTTTAGTATGGGCGTTAATGGGCCTGCTAACTGTGCCCAGAACCAGACAGCCTGGACAGAGACAGGGTTCCCTGTGGAGGTCCAAAGCAGAATTTTGTGTTCTGAGGAACAGGCTCCCTCTCCCAAGAGCAAGGAGGATGGAGCACGGCAGAACATTCCACTTAGGTGGGTGAAAAAATGTCTGAGAAAGACCAGTTACACTACCTGAGCTCTTTTCACAAGAAGTAAGACCTCAGGAGTAAGCAAGCCTTTCTAAACTACATGGTACATCACTTTCCAGATGTTAAGATTTTGTTGCGCTTGGGGCACCTGGGTTGCTCAGTCTGTTAGGCATCTGCCTTCGGCTCCTGGCATGATCTCCGGTTTTCTGGTCAAGCGCCTGAATTGGGCTCCCTGGTCAGCAGGGAGTCTGCTTCTTCAACCTCTGCCTCTGCTCCTTCCCCACCCCCTTGTGCTCTCTTTCTCAAATAAATAAATAAAATCTTTAAAAAAAAGATGTTTTTGCCCTCTCTCATCAGCTGTCTTCTCTTTGCTCACTCTCTCTGTCCTTTCGGGTGTAGATTTTTTTTTTTTAAGATTTTATTTATTTATTTGACAGAGAGACACACATCGAGAGAGGAAGCACAAGCAGGGGAAGTGGGAGAGGGAGAAGCAGGCTCCCCCCGCAAGGGAGCCTGATGTGGGGCTCGATCCCAGGACTCTGGGATCATGACACAACCTGAAGGCAGACGTTTAATGACTAACCCATTCAGGGTCCCCTTATCCTGGCTTCTTGATTAAGACTAGAAAGAGGGGCACTTGGGTGGCCCAGTGGGTTAAGTGTCTGCCTTCCGCCCAGGTTATGATCCTGAAGTCGCTGGATTGAGCCCCGCTTAGAGGCCCGCATCCGGCTCCCTCGCTCCGCGGAGAGTCTGCTTCTCCCTCTTACCCTACCCCCTCTCATACTCTCCCTCCCCTCCTGCCTCCCCTCAAATAAATAAATAAAATCTTAAAAAAAAAATAGACTAGAAAGAGGTGGGTTACAAGGTATTGAGGTAAGGCATTGAGAGATGACATGAGGGTGGGGTCCATGGCAAGTGAGAAGGCTCATTTTGGTGAACCCCTGTCTATGCTTCCTACAGTGTACTTTGCGAAACTATTATCCAAGGGGTGAAACGGATTCATGGCCTATCTTCACATTCATTATTTCCAACACATTCTCCCATTCTGTCTAATGTATTCTGATATAAAAGTCCTACCATTTAACCTCAATAATCATGTCTTCCTTGAAACTCTTTGGCTTCATACAATCGCCCACATCCAACCCAAATTCACTTCATTTTTTTCCACCTGTTTCTCAGTTTCTTCCACTACTTTGGTAGACAATCCCTCTCTCCTCTTTCCCCTCAATCATGTTTTGCTCCCCTTTGCCTGATAGCCTTCTTACTAAATATATTCTCTGTGGGCATCTTATTTTTTTTCTCATAGGGTCAACTATCACTCATATGTCTATGACTCCTAACTCTGAATCTCCTTCCAGAACTCTCTTTGGGATTCCATTCCAGAGTTCCAGTGGCTAGTGGAATGAGACCACACGACTTCTTCCCAAGCTGGTACTAAAATATGCTTTCAGGGTTGTTTTTATCTCTTTTGCCCCCCTCCTCCCTTTTTAAACTCTTCCTCAATCCCTTTTCCTTGTTTTCCTATTATCTGGCTTCCTTTAGTCTGTGTGAAAACAAATAAACTTAACTGACACCAAATTGCCCTGCAAAGATGTCATTTTAAACCAAAAGCTCTCCCTCTCCCTCTGTTTTTATCTTCACAAAATTTCCTTTTCAAGAATTCAAAGGAAACACTTATCCAGGAGAGACAATCATTATTTTGTTTTCCTAAAGTATTTAACATGCTAACTACCAAATATCTACATTTTCAATGTAAGCCTAATTGAAGAGTTGTGTGTCTCTGTGTGGGAGGAGGAGGGGTGGTGGCAAAGTGGTGAGGAGTCTCTTTGAAACGCTACGGTCTCTAACCAGAGAAAATGAAAATGCCAAACAACTGAAAACTGCAAGCAAGCACCCGGATCTGAGAAGGGTTGGACTAACGCACCCACTTTCTCCCCAAATCATTTGGAATTTCTTTGGGTATTTATCCTGAAACTGGATTAAGGGAATGAAAAGGGCAAATTTAAGCAAGAACTAAGAAGTTCGACTCTCAAAACAAAATAAAATAAAAAAAAAGTCATTTTTATCCTGCTCTTTTATATCTCCCATTCATAGACTTTTAAAAGCATATTTAAGGGGCGACTAGGTGGCTCAGATGGTTGGGTGTCTGTCTGCCTTCCGCTCGGGTCGTAATGCCAGGGTCCTAGCATCGAACCCCGTAACCTGCTCCTGCTCCGCGGGGAGTACGCTTCTCCCTCTCTCTCCCCACTGTCCGCCCAGCTTGTGCTCTCTCACTCTGTCAAATAAATAGAATCTTAAAGGAAAAAAAAAAAAAAGACTTAAAAAATATAAAAGCACATTTAACCTAGAGATATCCATGGAAACCAACCAAAGGGAAATGAGAAAGGAGAGGCATTGCAGTACCATTTCCAGGCGAACTGAAGTCTGATTTTCACTAGTCCAGCACTGTTTTTCCTCCAAGGTCTTGCTTAATGTTCATTACAGCAACAATTACCTAAGTAACAATTCCTCCGGGCTAGTTTTGTTTAAAGATGCCTAACTTATATACTTCACCCAACTGTTTCAAAAACGTTCAGTCCTTCATGTTGGAAGCTAAAATACTATCTTTATCCAGCGTCTAGCTCTGCACCAGAAGCCTATCCCCAGCCGAGCAGTGCCACGAAAGCTCACGTGCACCTCGGCTGCAAGGGGCTTTAAAACAGCCAAGAGCTAGTGCGTATTTGTGTGCAAAATTATCAGTCCTGCAACCTGGGCCCATAATGTTGCTTTGTTCCTCCATTTCACGCTAAAAACAAAACCGAAAAAAACAAATCCAGCAGGTATTAAAACCGTCCGAACGCCTAGGGAAAGCGCGCCAACCACACAAAGAAAAGGAGGGGGGCTACTGGGATTCAAAATCGTTTCCCCAGGACGAACACCCTCCCGAACCTATCGGAGTTAACTGCGCGCTTGGTTGTAGCCAATAGATACAGCGCTTCTGGTTCAGGTCCACCCAGAAGACTGATGGACACTTATGCGGTCCAATGAAACAGTGCGATGCTGAAGAATTAACCAATACATTCGGGAGGTGGGTGGAGTGTAGGCCAGGGGGTTGGCGGTGCCGTGTCATGGAGGCTCAGTCTCAGAGCAGCCATTGAAGGGGAAGGAACTGCGGTGTGTGTGTGTGTGTGTGTGTGTGTGTGTGTGTGTGTGTGTGTGCGTATGTGTGTGTGTGTGTGTGCGCGCGCGCGCGTGTGTGCGTACTTGTGTGTGTATGCGTGCGTGTGAGTGCGCGCGAGTGTGTGGACAAGGAGGTGGGGGCAGCCGAGTTAGAATCCCAACTCCTTGGACTCCATTTGCTATTCTATTCTTTCTCCCCCCACACCTATCTGGAGGTGGTGGGCGTTTATATTTGCTTTTCTTTTCATTCATTTCCAGATCTTTTAAAATTTAAGGGTTGGGGGTAGTGGGAAAGGCAGGAAAGGGTAAGGGAAGGGAGTAATAGCAGAAGAGCAGGAGGAGGACATGGAGATGAAGAAGAGGATTAACCTGGAGTTAAGGAACAGAGCCCCGGAGGAGGTGAGATGACTCAGCCCCCTCCCCTTCCCCACCAGACCTGTATTCAGAGGATCGGGTTTCTGGGGGTCCGGGTATGTGTGTGCGGAGGGGTAATGAATTATTCCCCACCTGGGGTTAGGGTTGGGGGATATTTAATTTTAAGTGTTAAATCATTAAAATCTTCTACTTAAAATGGCGAAGGGTTTAAGTTTCTAGGGGCGTTTTTGTGTGTGCCTGGGGGTCTTAGCCTCTTTAGGCTCTCTACGAATCGGGAGTCCAGGCCTGGTGGGGGCGGAAAGCGGGGTGCTGGGGTCCGCTCCGGCGCTTGGTTCCCTCCTCCTCCTGGGGGCCAGCGGCGTGGGCGCGACCCCCCAGTCCCACTTGCCCCTGCCGCAGCCATCGTCGCCTGAGAAGTTAGTCCAACTTTTCTGCAATGCTGCCAACTCTTTTTCTCTTTTTGGGAGGGTGCCCCCCTCCTCGAGGCCCGGGTGTCTGACGTCGCGCCGGGCGCGGGCTGGGGTCCCCGGAGGTCTCAGGACCGCCTACTGCTGGCGGCGCCCACTCCCCCGGGAAGGGGCGCGCGCTGACCGCGGTGGGGCGGAATCTGGGTCAGCGGTCGGTTCCCCCGCCGCGGGTAAGTTTTGGGAGTCGCCGCAGAGACGAGGTGAGGAGGGGACGCGAGGCGTAATCCTCTTCGTCCCCCCGCGGTGTCACGATATTCGGCGTGTCGTGTCGTAGTGGTCGCAACTCCGAATTTGATCCCTGGAGAAGGTCTCAAAAAACTCAAATGGGTCGTAGTAGTTTTGTGCTTTAAAGATAGATTCGGCGAAACGAAATGATGCTCTCTGGCTGCTGTCCCCTTAGTTAAAGAGACGGGATTGGGAGGGGCCACGTGAAGCTGGTCGCGGCCAACTTTTCGGGGGTCGGACGGGAGGCGTTTCCGCCTCCTTTTCGAGGGCACCCTCCTCGGCTTCTCCCAGCCCTCCCCGCCCGGGGCGGAGGCGCTGGGAACGCCGGCGGGGAGGCGACCCCTCTTTCTCTTGAGGAGTCCCCGCCCCGTGTGGGGTTTCCCGTGGGTCGGAGCGGCTGGTCGCGAGAGCGCGGCCGCTAGCCAGCTAGGAACCTGGCACTTCAGACCGCAGAAGAGAGCGTCAAGAGTCTTGTTAATTGCGGCCTCTGAAATAAACACTAGAAGTGGATTCTAAGGGATGTAGTTGTTTTCAAAAGGGGTGAGGGTGGTGCCGGTGCCTACCAGGGCAGAAGATAAGTAGGTCTGTTTGGTGGGCTGTGGAGGCGTGCGCAGTGGGAACCCAAGGTCTTTATATACTTTTTTTTTCCCTTTTTCTTTTTTAAGTCTCTGGTTCCCTGAAATTAGCAAAAGGCAAGGAAAAGGAAAGAGTCTGTACTATCATCCAGAGGGAGCTGGGAGTTTTCTAGGGCTTACTCTTTGGGGGCTGCAAGAAAACAAAATCAAACTTTAAAAACTCCCTCTCAGGAGCACACATTTAGAATGCTTTTTTGTATGTCTTGGGTTGGAAAAGTAGATTTGCTCCCCCACCCTCTTTTGTTTACCCATAGGAATTTCCTCTACAATTTTGGGGGGTGCCAGACGTTGTCTTTTTGCAGCCTCTCCTTCCTCCCTTAGGGTGTAATAACCATCTCTTATATTTGTATATCTCTTTATAGTTTACAAAACACTTTTTGTGTTTGTTATTTACCTTTCTCTTTCAGACAGACTTGTAAGGTGGATTGTATTGTTCTAGAATCCAAATTAGCAAACGGAGTCCCAGGGAAGTGAAGTTCTTTACTCAAGTGGAAGAACTGGTTTTTTGACACCAAATCTGGTGGCCTTCTCTCCTCCATTCACCTAGACTAGGAGTCAGAAAATTTAGAGTGGAAGCACAGCTCTGTCATACTAAGTGTGTGACCCTAGCCAAGTCATTCTTACCCTTTGGGCCTTGGCTTCCTTACTTCTTCTTCTTCTTCTTTTTTTTTTTTTTTTAAAGATTTTATTTATTTATTTGACAGAGAGAGATCACAAGTAGGCGGAGAGGCAGGCAGAGGTTGGGGGGCGGGGAGCAGGCTCCCTGCTGAGCAGACAGCCTGATGCGGGGCTCCATCTCAGCTCTATCCCAGGACCCTGAGATCATGACCTGAGCTGAAGGCAGAGGCTTTAACCCACTGAGCCACCCAGGCGCCCCTTGGCTTCCTTACTTCTAAACAGGAGATTATATGTCTACTCTGGTCTCTAAAATAATTATGTCAAAGTCATATTCAAATAAAGAAGGTGGCATTCCTTGTTTAGTTTTTAGCCCTCAGAATTCCTCAAACATATTTTTGCACTGGGAGTAGAGATCCGGGATCTCCTGTCTCCCCCTTAGATTAAGTCTAACAAAACCAGCAGGTTTTGTTCTACAACTCTGATGTGATAAGGGGATGCAGCCTAACTTACCCTGTCCACCCCGCAATGGGGAGAAGTCCACAAAAATGCTACTAGGGTGTTATGGAGAAATAACATCTTGTCAAGGATGTATTGTTCTGGGTGACATTGTTTGGCCCTGCCATTAAGAACAAATAACCTCCGAAAGCCAGCTTTCTCAAAATGAGCTTTCTAACATTTCTTCATGAAAGGTAACAAGGTATTTTTGAGTTATGGTAGCATTTATCAACTGAAGATAAGGGTGTTTTAATGTGAATGAAATAGTTTCCTTTCTTCTACCTGCTGTTTTAGGGCAGCTCACTTGAATCCTTTCCCAGTAGTCTGGGTATCCCCTCGCTACGTAAATATATGCTCTGAGAATCCTTCTTATCAGGGGCAGAAGCAAGTTTCACACGGGACCTTTTTCAAAGTTTTATTTATTTATTTATTTATTTAAAAAAAAAGATTTTATTTATTTATTTGTCAGAGAGAGAGAAAGAGCACACAGAAGCAGGCAGAGTGGCAGGCAGAGGCAGAGAGAAGTAGGCTCCCTGTGGAGCCTTGAGTCCGATGAGAGACTCAATCCCAGGATGCTGGGATCATGGCCTGAGCCAAAGGCAGCTGTTTAACCAACTGAGCCACCCAGGCATCCCCAAAGTTTTATTTTTTATGCATCAGGGATTTGAGCAGGCATTGAACTTCTTGGTCTAAGTTTAAATTTAAAAGTTTAACTTATAATGATGACTTTAGATTGTATTTAAATTTTTGATAGGGGAGGAGAGAATGAAAAGGATCTGTGTAAGGGGGATTCATGGTTTTAATATTCACATTTCCAGTGTGTCTTGACCCAGGTCTTTTGCTAAACAGACTCAAAGTAAAGAATCATTCATTTTCTGTCTTACAGGTGACAGAGTTAGTCCTTGATAATTGCCTTTGTGTCAATGGGGAAATTGAAGGTCTGAATGATACTTTTAAAAAACTAGAGTTTCTGAGTATGGCTAATGTGGAACTAAGTTCACTGGCCCGGTTGCCCAGCTTAAATAAACTTCGAAAGGTAAGTTGGTATTAAGTGCGAAATCATCATAGTTTTGATGTCAAGGGCTAGTATGTCTAGGTTTTGGCCAAATGAAACAACCATTCTGCCTTTTAATTAGAAGGTTCTAAATTTCTAGAGATAAGAGAATGGGTTATGTAGGATTTTTAGAATCAGCTCTAATACAGCTTTTAAAAATTTAAGTTTAATAATGAAATTGTTTTATGATATCAATTTGGGCTTAATATCTACCAAATGTTTTTCTCTGAAACATAAAGTCTATCTGTAACACATCTGGAACCAAACTTGGGTTAGAAGCTTATTATATAGGAGTTCTAATATATTATTTGGTGATTATGGGTAGGAATTTGGAAATTAGTAAGTTGTGACAGTCTCTTGAAGCTAGAGAGAATGACAGTTGTTTTTCTTCTTTAAATTGGTATATTTTAAAAATCTGGGTGCTCCTGGCTGACTCAGAACGTGCAACTCTTGATCTCAGGATTGTGGGTTCGAGCCCCACATGGGGTGTAAAGATTATTTAAAAAATAAAAAAACTTAAAAAAATCGGATTTGCTCTAAGCCTTCATCATTGTTTGTTTTTCCTCCATGTTGAATATATAGTTGGAACTTAGTGACAATATAATTTCTGGAGGTTTGGAAGTCCTGGCAGAGAAATGTCCTAATCTTACCTACCTCAATCTGAGTGGAAACAAAATCAAAGATCTCAGTACAGTAGAAGCTTTGGTGAGTGGAAAGTCTCTGAACTTCGTATTTTTTGGTTGTCTGCTGAGATTGCTTGTGTTTTATCTTGCTGATTTATATTTCACTCTTTGAAACTTCTGAATTTCTTAAAGGTTTTTATCTATATGTATCTATATGTTTTACTGTTTTCTCTTAGAGTGAAACAGGTAAATTTTTAAATCTAAGAGAAATTTATTTATCATTAACTTAAGGAGTTGAATATCTGGTTTTAAACTTCTCAGTATTAAGTTCTATTCTTTTTCCTTCCTTCTTGATTTTTTTTTTTTAAGTTATTTTATTTGCTCCTTTCTTTCCTGGTATGAGATGAAGTGAAACCCACAAAAATTGTTGCTCCAATTTTAAAAAGCTTGGGAGAAGGTTGAAATTGTTGACAAGGAGCTTGACTGGATTTAAGCTAAACACATTATTGTTGTTGCCTATTTATGTACCTACTTGGTCAACAAAATACATTGAATGGCTACTATAGTAAGGCACTAAGCCAGGTGCTGGAGATTCAGTGGTGGAAACAAAATTCCTATTCTTGTGGAGTTTACATACAGGGCCTCATTAAGAGAATTGCTATTGGGGGTTGGGGTGGGGGTGGGGTGCGTGGGTCGCACAGCTGGTTGAGCTTCTACCTTCAGCTAAGGTGTGATTCTGAGGTCCCAGATCTGATCCAGCCCCGCTCCCTACCCTTCTCAATGGGGATCCTGCCTCCCTGCCTTTTCCTCTCCCTTTTCTCTCCTCCCCTTGTGCTCACTTGCTCCCTCCCTCTCTCTGTCTCTCAAATAAATAAATCTTTTAAAAAAAGAGAGATAATTGATACCAAAACTCTTCATCATAAAATTTGAAAAACCCCCAAGTCATTCTTTTGATTTCAAATATATATTTTCTGGTTCATGAATCAAACAGAAAGAACATAGTATTTAAAATCTTGAAATGTTTAAGTTTTAACTTTTTACTTTTCCAGCAAAATCTTAAAAATTTGAAAAGTCTCGACTTGTTTAACTGTGAGATCACAAACCTGGAAGATTACAGAGAAAGTATTTTTGAGCTGCTGCAGCAAATCACCTACTTAGATGGATTTGATCAGGAGGATAACGAAGCACCAGACTCAGAAGAGGAGGATGAGGGTAATCATTCTTGATGCTTGTAAATATAGGCTCCAGCCTAGCGATGCCATTTCGATTGGGCTTGGATATTTAGGTGTTGAAAAAAAAAGATGTTAGTAAGACAAGAAAAATTACAAAACCCACAACCCTAATCCTGTATTTCTTCTTTCAGGTTTCTGATACCTTTGGGGAATTAAATGATTATTATACTGTCAAGCTCTGTGATATTTTATATCCGTATAAACTTGTTTAACCACTACCTGGTAAAAGTGGGAACTTGTTAAATAGTACCTTTTTAAAAAAAAAGGAATCATTCCTTTTTGTAGTGTTATCCATAATAGTCAAGAAATAGAAACAACCCGAATGGTCTGTCAACTGATGGATAAACAATGCAATATAGCCATACAATGAAATATTTTTCAGTCATAAGAATGAATGAACTACTGATACGAGCTCTAACATTGAAAACATTCTATGTAGTGAAAGAAGCCAGACACAAAAGGCCACATTTTTTGTGACTCCATTTGTATGAAATGTCCAGAATAGGCAAATTCATAGAAACAGAAAGTAGAGTAGTGGTTGCCAGGGCTGGGTGAGAGGAGAATGGGGAGTGACTGTTAATGACTGTGGGTTTTTTTGAAGTGTGGGGTGTGTGTGTGGGGTTATGGAAATGTTCTAGAATTAGATGGTGAATATATATTATTGGATAAATGGGTGACTAACAGATCAGATGATGGAATGGCTCTTGTTAGTAATGGGACACTGTTATTCTTGGTTGAAAATTTTTTTACTGTAAAAAGAAATCTGATAGAAAATGACAGAATGATAGAGAAGGTGGTTTTGAAGTGTCCACAAGGTAAAACAAACTTTTTAGTGCATGTAATGTTTCAATGAAAATCTGTATGTTGGAAATATTTCAGTATTTAGAAACCATATTTTGGGGCGTCTGGGTGGCTCAGTGGGTTAAACATCTGCCTTCAGCTCAGGTCATGATCCCAAGGTCCTGGGATTGAGTCCCACATTGGGCTCTCTGCTCAGCAGGGAAGTCTGTTTCTCCCTCTCCCTTCCCCGGCTCATGCTCTAGCTTGCTCGCGCTCTCTCTCAAATAAATAAAATCTTTAAAAAAAAAAAAAAGTAAAAAATAGGAACCGTATTTCTTGGGGCGCTTGGGTAGCTCAGTTGGTTAAGTGTTTGCCTTCGGCTCAGGTCATGATCCCAGTGTTCTGGGATCAAGCCCCACATCCTCGGGCTCCCTGCTCAGTGGGGAGTCTGTTTCTCCATCTTCCTCTGTCCCTACCCCCTGCTTGTCCTCATTCTCTCTGTGTCAAATAAATAAATAAAACCTAAAAAAAAAAATAGAAACCATATTTCTCAAATAGTAAATATGGATGTTGTAAAAGGGAATTTTTTTTTTTTTTAGAGATTTACTTATTTATTTTAGAGAGAGAGAGAGCACGCGTGTGTGCATAAGCAGGGAGAGGCACAGAGGGAAAGAGTCAAGGAGACTTCCCACTGAGTATGGAGCCTGACTCATGACCCTGAGATCATGACCTGAGTTGAAATCAAGAGTCGGACGCTTAACCGACTCAGCCACCCACCCACCCCTTAAAAGGGAAATCTTAAAAAAAGAAAATCACCCTGAGATACTTTCCACCTACCCGTTGGCTTAAGAATTTGAAGTGACTGGGGCAAGGGTGGATAGGATCAACATACTTGCAAGAAAATTTGCTCAGCCATTTGCTCATCTTTTAAAATATTTTTAAAGATGGAGATGAAGATGATGAAGAAGAAGAGGAGGATGAAGCTGGTCCACCTGAAGAATATGAAGAAGAGGAGGAGGAAGAGGAGGAGGATGAGGATGAGGATGAAGATGAAGCAGGCTCAGAGCTGGGAGAGGGAGAAGAGGAAGTGGGCCTCTCATACTTAATGAAAGAAGAAATCCAGGTGAATGGACACTTTTTATGTGTGCTGAAAATTAATTATTTAGGCATAGGGCCAAGTACTATAAATAGTGAGTTGTGTAGAAATCTGAAAGTTGTTCCTAACGTGTGGGTCTGAGTGTATCTGTCTTGCCTGTCCTTTTTCCCACTGTCCCCCAGCTCAGACTGTATCCAGATAATCCTAAACGCATATTGATTTTACTGCCCAGATACCTTTCAAATCCATTCTGCCGGGCACTTCAAAGTGTGGTGGAAACATTTTACAAAAGTTTCGGAGCCTCAGCTTCCTTCTTTGTAAAACAAAGATTGTATCAACCTCTTAGGCTTTTTTGAAGGATTTAAGAAGATAATATATGTCAAGTGTCTAGTCACTGGCACATTGTAGGCATTCAGGAAAACTTTTGTTGCCCTGATGATTTCTTGCTTACAGTTTTGTAGTAGCTTTCCAAATGGCCTGTCTGAATACAGTATCACCACTTAAGTGTCTCTTGCATGTTTCGGTTTGTGCCTGCCTCGCCTGAATGCAGATGTGATGGTATCACTTTAATGTTGAAACACTTTAATGTTTCCCTGTTGCCACCCAAGCATACAAGGCCTATCATTATCTGGCCCCTGCTTCCTTCTCCAGCCTCTTTTCCCTCAATACCAAATTTAATTGTCATACCAGGCTGTTTCTTGCCTTTCTGTCTGTAGATAACATTGTTTGCTCTTATCTGAAATGACTTTCTACCCATGCTTTCTGATCAACTTTATTTTCTTTTTTACAAAGGTAAACATAAGTATAGTTGAAGCCTGGAAAGTGCACTGATTTTATGTACACATTCGTGACATTTTACTTACTTATATACTAGAGGGAGAGAGAGAGCACACTTTGTGCGTGCTTTGTGAGCTCTTTAAAAACTTAGATCATGCTTTGTGAGCTCTTTAAAAATTTAGTTCTGGAGTTGTCTCATTATTGAAGCTTTCTGTAACTTTTTATAGATAATCTCTCCTTCCTCTGTTACCTTTGAATCTCAGTTAGTCTTCTGTTGCCTGTAGGCACTTTTGTAAAAACTTGTTTATTTGGCCACTTTCTCCTAGATGGTGAGCTCCTCAAGGGGATGGTCATCTGTCTTTGTATATCAGCATCTCATACACTGACAGGGACATTGTAAGCTCATAGGAAGTGTCAGTTGACTTGAACAAATGATCTTTAGCTCCTGGGAATTACTGTTTCCTCCTAATGTTTTTAAATTACTGAGTTTTATTTTCATAATTCAAGTTTTTTATTATCAAAAATAATATGTCTTATTTAGACTAGAAGTTGTTATTTGTTATTTTTGTTTTTATTTGTTGTTATTCTTATTTGTTCTCCTAATGACTTTTACATTGGTTAGATAGATAATATCACTGATCGATGATAATTTTTTTTCTGATACCATTTTAAATATGAAACTAATGTGGAAAAATAGAACTTAAACTTGTTTGGGGCCTTAGTGAATCAGCAGCTGTACAATAAGCATTTAAGCATTCCTAGAGAAAATCAGCCCGTTCAGTTTACATCAGCATACAGCATGAATATTTTGCCCCTGTTTGTTTGTTTATTTATAAAAGAGTTAATTTGTTAGATAGACAGAGAGAGCACAAGTAGGGGAAGTGGCAGGCAGAGGGAGAAGCGGCTCCTTGCTGAGCAAGGAGCTGGATGCAGGACTTGATCCCAAGAACCCTGGGATCATGACCTGAGCCAAAGGCAGATGCTTAACTGACTTAGCCCCCAGGTGTCTAAGTTTTAAGTTATTTAATAAAATAATGGACTCATGTTATTTGGCTTTTGTCTTTGTCAGGAATTCTTCATTAAGTCTGTATAGTATTAAGTACTTTATTTATTTATTTTTTTTAAATATTTTATTTATTTGACAGAGAGAGATCACAAGTGGAGAGAGAGAGAGAGAGGAAGAAGCAGGCTCCCTGCCTAGCAGAGAGCCCGATGTGGGACCCGATCCCAGGACCGTGAGGTCATGACCCGAGCTGAAGGCAGAGGCTCAACCCACTGAGCCACCCAGGCAGCCCCAGTATTAAGTAGTTTAAAAATGACTTTCAAGCAACTGCAAATGTTTGTGTTTATCATTCCATTGAATTTTGGGGAACATTAACTAAAAGTGGCATAGTCAGGGTCCCTGGGAGGTTCAGTTGGTTAAGCATCTGCCTTTGGCTCAGGTCATGATCCCAGGGTCCTGGGATTGAGTTCCAGGTGGGGCTCCCTCCCAGACTGAGTCCCCAGTGGGGCTCCCTGCTCAGTGGGGAGTCTGCTTCTCCCTCTGTCCCTCCCCCGCCCATGCTTTCCCTCTCTCTCTCTCTCTCTCTCTCTTTCTTTCTGTTGCAAAAGTGAATAAATAAAATCTTAAAAATAAAAAAGATTCTTGGGGCACCTGGGTGGCTCAGTGGGTTAAAGCCTCTGCCTTCAGCTCAGGTCATGATTCCGGGTCCTGGGATAGAGCCCCGCATCGGGCTGTCTGCTCGGCAGGGAGCCTGCCTCCACCTCTCTCACTGCCTGCCTCTCTGTGTACTTGTGATCTCTGTCTGTCAAATAAATAAATAAAATCTTAAAAAAAAGAAGATTCTCTTAAAAATAAATAAGTAAAATAAAAGTGACACAGTCAAGTTTGGAGTAAAAATCTCTGAGATGATAACCACAACGTCAGGTCAGTGTAATACCTGGATAACACGTACCAGAAGCTTTCAAACATGATGAATGGTTTGAATATTAAAAATGATGTTTTTAGTATTTTTAATTAGTTATGTTTTTTTTTTCAAAGATTTTATTTATTTATTTGACAGAGAGAGAGAGAGAGAGAGAGACATCACAAGTAGGCAGAGAGGCAAGCAGAGAGAGAGGAGGAAGCAGGCTCCCTGCTGAGCAGAAAGCCTGATGCGGGACTTGATCCCAGGACCCTGAGATCATGACCTGAGCCGAAGGCAGAGGCTTAACCCACTGAGCCACCCAGGCGCCCCTTAATTAGTTATGTTTTAAACATATTTTTTAGAAGATGAAAGTCAGTACAAGCTTCCGAGACTGTTGAGATTTAAAAAGAAAGTAGAAGGAGATGGAAACGGGAATTGAGTAGCTGTTTTTGGTTTGAGTATCATTTTTATTTCAATTACTCTTCAGAGGTCAGAAATTAATATGTATAAAGAAGGGCTTTATGTTTGTGTAGTATATTTCTTTAAAAATGGGGATGGGGACTTTAGAAGAATTGGGAATTGTAATCCCTCTGGACTCTACAGAGTACAATGAGCAAACAGTTCTTTCCCATTAGTTAGGGAAAGATCATAGTTTCTACTGAACAAGCTTCTGGTGAAAGCTGTTTTTATTGAGGGATATCATCTAATAGATGACACTAAAAACTGAAGGCTTAGATGATAGCTGTCCTTGTGGTGAGCAAAGCTTAAGGTGTAGCCTTATGGAATCACCGTGTTGTGCCCCTGAAACTCACATAATACTGTATGTCAGCTGTACTTCCCATTTTAAGAAAGGCTTAAAAGCATGAATCAAGTAATCTAAGCATATTTTGTTTAAAACAAAATCCGGAGAAGCAGTTAGATTTTGAGACTTGGGGTTTTCTAAATTGTCAAAGTATAAATGTGATTAGTATCTCAAGTGTTTTTTTAAAAAATCACAAATACTTAAACATCCTCATTTATCATTCTCCACAGATCTGAGATGTTTAAGATGTGCCCCTTATCTTTCTTTCTCTCTCTCTCTCTTTTCTTTCTTTCCTTTTCCTTCCCCTCCCTCCCCCTTCCCTGTCCCCTTCCCTGTCCCCTCTCCTCTACCCTCCCTTCCTTTGTTTTCCGCTTTAGTTTAAAGCTTTAGGTTCTCCGATTTTTATTGTGATTCCTTTTTATGCTACTGACTACCCCATTTATTCCTTCTCCTCTTTGTATCTTGATGGTATTCTGGTACAGAATGCTTTTCAGTGTTTGAATTGGTTCTATAAGATTGTTTTCTTTTTTTATTTTTTTTTTAAGATTTTATTTATTTATTTGACAGAGAGAGATCACAAGTAGGCAGAGAGGCAGGCAGAGAGAGAGGAAGGGAAGCAGGCTCCCTGCTGAGCAGAGAGCCTGATGTGGGACTCGATCCCAGGACCCTGAGATCATGACCTGAGCCGAAGGCAGCGGCTTAACCCACTGAGCCACCCAGGCGCCCTATAAGATTGTTTTCTGATACAAGTTTCCTACAGTCGAGTTTCTCAGGGGATTCTACCTACATGCTGGGAAATCAGGTTCTGTTTAGTATTTCTAGACACGAATGGGACTGTGGATACTATGAAAAGGATGGGTTGTCCAAGTTTTCCCCTAACTACACAGGAGTTTTTGACATTTGCCACTTAAAAGTATTTTTAAGGAGCATTAAACTTTTGTGGGGTTGGAGGGGAGACCCTAGATTGGTTCTATTTTTTTCAAACATATGGTAGAACTGAACTATTTAGAACATGGCGGTAAGTGTAAAAGACCTCTGATTAGCCAAAATTTAGCAACAAAAGACATTTTCTTTCTACGTAGGTGAGTGTTCAAGCTGTTATTCTAAACCTATTTTCTCTTATATTCAATTCTCTAATAAGCTTGACAGTCTATTTTCTGAATCCATAGCAAATTAAAATTGAAGTAGTGAAATTGAAAAGAAGAAGGCATGAAAACTAGGAAAAGATACAATTTAAACTAGAGGCCAGGGTCATTTTTATTTATTATTTTTTATTTTACTTTATTTTTTAAAATATAAAATAAATAAATAATAAATAAATAAATAAAATAAATTATATTTAATTTATTTTTTAAAGATTTTATTTATTTATTTGAGAGAATGAGAGAAAGAGCATGAGGGGGGAGGGTCAGAGGGAGAAGCAGACTCCCCATGGAGCTGGGAGCCCAATGTGGGACTCGATCCTGGGAGCCCGCGACTGAAGGCAGTCGCCCAACCAACTGAGCTCCCCAGGCACCTGCAGGGTCGTTTTTAAAAGGAGAAAACCATCATACATATTTTGATAGGCCCTGAGGGAATCAGGATATACTAATTAGTGTTATGTTCATGATCAAATGATTATGACTGATTATTCAAGAGAAAGGTTTGTTAGGTTTAGCATAAAATGGTAGAAGGGCACTTTAGAGATTTCTATCCCAATTGGTTAAAGTAAAAAAAACAAAAAACAACAACAAAAAAACCTGTTATGATATTTCAAGGCTGTGTTTACATCTGAGCTATCTGGAACAGCTCCTTCAGTAAAAATTGTAGATCAAGTTTTGTGGTTTTATTGATATTGCTATTTTGATGTGTAGATTTTTAGACATAGGAGAAACTTATAGATCTTTTTAGATGAACACTTTCCTTTATTGATTGGAAAAATGAGGTCCAGGGAGATTAAGTGACTTATTCAATGCATGTAACTATGTTGGGGCTAGGATTCAGGTAACTTGTATCTCACTCTATAAAATAGGAAACCTTTCTTTGAAATTGTCATGTTAACTCTGTCCATTACAGTAGCCACTGGGCACATTTTGGTTATTTAAGTTAAAATTAAATAAAATGAAAAATTGAGTTCCTCATTTGTACTGGTCACATTTTATTTTATTTTATAATTATTTAAAGATTTTTTATTTTTAAGTAATCTTTACACTCACCGTGGAGTTCGAACTCACAACCTTGAGATCAAGAGTTGCATGCTCTACTGACTCAGCCAGCCAGGCACCCTTGTGCTGATCACATGTTAAATGCTCAGTGGCCACGTGTGGATAGCACAGATGCAGAACATTTCCATTGTTCCAGAAAGTTCTTTTAAACAGTGCTGGTCTAAAATGTAACTTATTTTCATAAGCTAGATTTAGTTGCATTCTTAAAAAAGACTTATGTGTTAGGCAGAGGTTGTTAGAACATTCACAGAATAACCATGTTTTTTTGCTTTTGTTGGAATGTATTACTACCAAACGGTGAAAAGTATGTCAAGGCTTTTTATTCTCAAACTGAATATTTGGTTTTCAAGGATGAAGAAGATGATGATGACTATGTTGAAGAAGGGGAAGAAGAGGAAGAAGAGGGTGAGTTGCATTTGCCATAAAAGGAATCCTGACATTAAAGTTAGAGCTATTATTCACATGCTTTAAAGAATGTGTTTCTAATAATTCAAATTATTACTGGCCCCTGATTTGATTTTGGTAACATAGAGTGCCTTGAGAGGTGTAAAACCTTCTTCCTTTTTTTTTTTTTTTTTTTTTTAGAGAAAGGAGAGAGCGTGCAAGTGGTAGTGGGGGTTGTAGGAGGAGAGGGATAGAGGGAATTTTTTTTTTTTTTTTTTAAAGATTTTATTTATTTATTTGTCAGAGAGAGAGAGAGAGAGACAGCAAAAGAGGGAACACAAGCAGGGGGAGTGGGAGAGGGAGAAGCAAGCTTCCTGCCGAGCAGTGAGCCTGATGCAGGGCTCCATCCCAGGACCCTGGGATCATGACCTGAGCTGAAGGCAGACGTCTGGCTAAGTCACTGTGCCCCATAAAACCTTTTTAAAAGAGTAATTTTTGGGGGCGCCTGGGTGGCTCAGTTGGTTAAGCGTCTGCCTTCGGCTCAGGTCATGATCCCAGGGTCCTGAGATTGAGCCCAGCATGGGACTCTCTGCTCAGTGGGGATCCTGCTTCTCCCTCTGTCTGTGCCTGCTGCTCTGACTACTTGTGCTTTCTCTCTCTCTCAAATAAATAAATAATCTTTAAAAAAAAAAAAAAGTGATTTTCTCAAGGCATTCAATAATTTCATTTAAAAAAAACCACCTGCCTATAACATTTATTTTCAAAACTGGTATGAAGAGATGAGATAACCTTGAGCTTAATTTATTATTTTCTTAGGTCTTTGATTTTGAAGAGGATGAATGAAGCCTTGTCCCTAAGAGAAGAGCAGTTGAACTCCCAGATAATGTTCTTTTGAGATTTGCTCTCTAGTACTCTTTACCTAGGCCTTTCAAAATAAATTTAAAAGTTTACTAATGACTCTTAATGACCAACCCCTAGTTCTTGGTCTGTACTTCATGATTTGGCCACAAGGGTGCACAGCAAGCTGTCATTATTTATGGATTTCTAAGTCTATTAAGTCTGTTCAGTACACCAAAATTGAAAGAAATTCAGAGAGGAAACTTGACGTATGATTTTTTATGCCATTAAGTTTTCAATAAGATACATTCACAACTGTAATTTGACAAATACTCATTTGTAAAAAATACATCGTAAATTTTTCTTTCATTCTTCTTTCAGAAGAAGAAGGTCTTCGAGGGGAAAAAAGGAAACGAGATGCTGAAGATGATGGAGATGAAGAAGATGACTAGATCATTCTAAGACCAGATTCCCTAATGTTCCTGGGTGTGCAATAGAGTGATCCCATCTTCTTTGTTTCTTCATGTACCATAGCGATCCCTACGGAAGATAACCTGTAACTTTTTATAGGAAAAGTGTGGTTTTACTATTTTTGCCTTATCATTCCAAATAAGATTTACTAGTCTGTTAATGATCATATCATATGTAGAGAAAAAATTTTCGTTGACCCCATTGTGAAATTTATTTAGAATCTTCATTTTTCTCATTCAGGCTCACTGTATTAGTTATTTTTAGCCCATAATTAAAACATGATCACTTTTACACAGGCGTAGTTTGGTGCATTTCATTCATAAGGTTATAAAGTTATTTATAAGTTAACTGAAATCAGAGTCGGCTGGAATATGAAATGAAAATAGTCTCTTGACTGATAAGTTGGTTATATTTTTAGAGGTGACCCAGAGATCTTTAGTTTGAAGGCAATGACTTGTTTTTGTTTTTTTGGGTATGGGTATTTGGGTGCTTTTTTGTCACATGAATAACCTAGAAAGTAGGAGCAGAATAGCAAAGGTTCTATTCAACAATATAGTTCAAGGCTTTTGTGGAGGCTTCTGAAACCTTTTAAGCCAGGTGACTAATAAGATTTTATTTTTGAAGGAAAAATGCTTGTACTAAGTTCCGAGACATGCAGGTGAGCCCTTTGTTTTTCTCACTGAAAATCATGACATGCCAGCGGTTGTTAGTTTTGCTTTGTTTTTAAGTGTGCATTCTTTTTCTTCCTCCCAGCAATTCCTTTATGATCACTTTCATTTCTTGTTTCACTCCCCTCCTTCTATCTCCAAAAAAAGTTGGGAAACTTATGGCTCTTCAGGAAGACCTTTATTTAGTCTTTTATACCTCAGCAACCTTTTCAGACGGTCTCAGTTTTAAACAAGTTAAATGAAAGAAATTGAGTATTTTCTGAGCTATAAATACTATTATCAATACAGCTTTATGCAACAGATTCTGGTTATTGTAACTCTCTTGGTTGACAAGATGTGCAGACTGTATTAATAGGGTGAAGAAAGAAAAGCAGAGGAAGCTTTTAGAAGCAGCATTGCTGTTCCACAGAAGTTAGAACAATTGCCTGTTGATAATTAGTGAGACAGTCAGGTCAAATTTAGGGGGAGGTTAGCTTCCCAAATGGTTTAGATACTACACTGCAAAGTATTTCTAATTTTTCGGAGTAGAACCTTTAATTATTCTTCCTACAGTTTTAAGATATTACCAGATATAACTTTTAATTGGAATACACTGGGCAGTTGGAAAAATATTTGAAACTAAATGCTAAAATTAAGATTTGTTTTCAAGTGGAAACCCACTAAAAATAGAAAAATATTTAGGCTGGGTGTGTTTCTTTATACAGCTACTAAATATGATAATATAAGTAGACAAGTACATTCCCCTTTTTGTTGCTGAGGCTCCATGTTCAAGGCAATTGCTTTTCTTTTTTTTTTTTTTTTTAAAGATTTATTTTATTTGACAGAGAGAGATCACAAGCAGGCAGAGAGGCAGGCAGAGAGAGAGGAGGAAGCAGGCTCCCTGCTGAGCAGAGAGCCCGATGCGGGGCTCGATCCCAGGACCCTGAGATCATGACCTGAGCCGAAGGCAGCGGCTTAACCCACTGAGCCACCCAGGCACCCCAAGGCAATTGCTTTTCAAATCTTGGCTTAATTTTTTTCCGCTGTTTTGAATATCTGAGTTTTTTAAAGTTAGCATCAGCAAATTAATTGAAGTTATACTTCTATACTGGGACACATTTAAATTACGGAGTGAAGAGCTTCTTTTTTAGTTTCAGATGTATGACTTGGGGTTTTAAAGTAAAAATTACAAAGTTATTTGTGGGTAAACTAAAAAAGTTGTACAAGTGACTGAAATAAAACTCTTGGAATAAGTTCAGTGGGGGGACTGGTATCTCCAAAAGGCTAACATTTTACTCCTTTTTTAACACTTGAAAAGCCCTGTTTTAGTCCCTAAGAATTCTCATCGCATAGTATATGCCAGACTATAAAATACTTATTTTTAAAATGAAATCTATATAATGACTTTCTTACCAGTCATCTTATTGTGCAATCAAAATTAGAGTTCTTTGGTTTGAAAACAACATTTAGAGCCTCCAGATAACTTTTTAAGACTTATTTAGCTTTGTGGGTGGTATTTTCATGCAAATAAGTAAGGGCGGGTTTTATATTTTGTAGAAGTTTTTGGTCCTATTTTAATGCTCTTTATATGGCAGTATGTATATAGTGTGTTAAATTTCCTCAAAACTCTCCTTTAAAAACTTTGAAGTTAATACTTTTGTGCAACTGTGTTTTGAATAAAGCCATGACAGTGTTAAAAAAAAATGCAGCACTCCTGATTATTCTTTTATTTCTGACCGTTCCCCGTTTTTTTTTTTTTTCTGTGACTGCTGTAACTTTAAGTTTTGAAATTGAATTGCTTCAATAAATGGAAGATTTGTTGTTAATTATTAGTTTCAGTGTATGACATTCACTTTTTGAACACCACCACTGGGGGCTTTGAAAGTCTTTTTAAAAACAAACAGCTTGGAAGTTCTCAAACACTTGGATGTCATAAGAGGTATTACAATGTAATAATTTAACCCATCATCTGCCTTATTTTTTTTTGTCCAAGAAGCAGAAAAAGTTCTGGATTCCCTTAATTTTCCTTTCAGAGTTGCAAACTGAGCCAGTACTTTTAAATTTTTTAAAATTTAAATTCAGTGAACTAACATATAATGTATTACTAGTTTCAGAAATAGAGTTCAGTGATTCTTCAGTCATATTATAATATCCAGTGCTCATTACATCACATGACCTCCTTAATGTTCACCCCGTTACCCTAACCCCCCCTCCACTCCCCTCCAGCAACCCTCAGTTTATTTCCTATGATTTAAGAGTCTCTTATGGTTTGAATCCCTCTCTGGTTTCATCTTATTTTTTCCTCTCTTCCCCTATGATCCTCTTGTTTTGTTTCTTAAATTCCACATATGAGTGAGGTCATATGATAATTCTTTCTCTGACTTACTTAGTGTAATACCCTCTAGTTCCATTCACTTTGTAGCAAATGAGCCAGTACTTTCTGTATTTTAGTGTGAAGTAGTAACTTTGTTACCTATAGTTGAAGTAACTTATCTACAGTTAACTACAGTGATTATAAATCTGCTGTACACAAATAGTTTTTTGGTTTTTTTTTAAGATTTTATTTACTTATTTGAGAGAGAACACAAACAGGGGGAAGGGGAGAGGGAGAAGCAGGGCCCCTGCTGAGCAGGGAGCCCAACATGGGGCTCGATCCCAGAACCCCGGGGTCATGACTTGAACCGAAGGCAGACACTTAACGACTGAGCCACCCCGGCACCCCTGTATACCAATAGTTTTAACGAATGAAATCTAAAGTCTTCATTTATATTGCAGTTTTTTCTTCAGAATCCTTAGATAATATACAAACAATTCTTTTTTTTTTTTTTTAAAGATTTTATTTATTTGACAGAGAAAGACACAGTGAGAGAGGGAATGCAAGCAAGGGGAGAGAGAGGGGGAGAAGCAGGCTTCTTGCTGAGCAAGGAGCCCCATGCGGGACTTGATCCCAGGACCCTGGGATCATGACCTGAGCTAAAGGCAGACTCCACTGAGCCACCCAGGTGCCCCAATACAAACAATTCTTGCGTGTTCACCTTGATTGAAACCTGAACCAACAATTTTTCTGCTGTCTTTTGTTTTTCAAGGGAGAAGTGATTTTTAACATGTTTCATTTGTTGGGGCGCCTGGGTGGCTCAGTTGGCTAGGTGTCTGCCTTGGATTCAGGTCATGATCCTGTGGTTCTGGGATCGGGCCCCTTGTTGGGCTCCCTGCTCAATGGGGAGCCTGCTTCTCCCTCTCCCTCTGCTGTTCCCCCTGCTTGTGTGCTCTCTGTCAAATAAAAAAAAATCTTCATCATGTTTCATTTATAGACAACTCTGGAATGTATTTTACAAAGTCAAGGCACAAATATGTTAAGTAATGTTTTCATGATTGCCTACGGTTTAATATTGAAAAGTTATTTTAATTACAGAACTCTGCTCCTTGAGATATGGAAAATATTGAAGTATATCTCAACTATAGAAATTGTTTATTAAAATTAGTATTTTTGTGTGCACGTGTTTTACGTCTTAAAAGATTTAAAGCCTTTTCCCCCTTGGTTAAAGAAAATGATAGAACTACACTAAAGGTTTTTGGTGGTGTTAGATAATGAAGCAATTCTGTGAGATTGTGATTCAAAACACTTAAGTAGTGTTTATTCCTTCTGTATTTTAAAGAGAGGCTTTGGAACATGTGACATTCTCCCAGTTGCTGAAAATTTCCCCTCAGTTCCTAGTATTGGATGCAATGATATTCTGCAGCTGTTACTTAATAATAGCATTCTACTACTGCATTCCTCTTTCATGTACTAATCAGCCTGAGATTTGAAAACCGGCTTGGGTGACTTCGCCCGAGGCAGTGACTTGTGTTAGTCTGTTGATCAGTCCTAACTTGAAGGAGGAGAACAGGTTATACCACAAAATGGAAATTATAAAATGGGTTGATCTCCAGGAGCATCTTTACAAATAGCATATATACTGGTAAAACAGTTTTATTTCATACAAATCTAGTCACTGTTTCGGGTGATAAGCCTGAAGCAGGGTTACCCCATAACAGCAATTCTGACTAAGAATCAGAAGCAACTATGACTTTTTTAAAAAGAGATTTTATTTACTTATTTGACAGAGAAGGATCACACGTAGGCAGAGAGGCAGGCAGAGAGAGAGGGGGAAGCAGGCTCCCCACTGAGCAGAGAGCCCGATGCGGGGCTCGATCCCAGGACCCTGAGATCATGACCTGAGCCAAAGGCAGCGGCTTAACCCACTGATCCACCCAGGTGCCCCTCAGACGGCACCATCTTGCAAGATGACAGCCATGATCTGTGCTTTCACTTCAGCTGGATAAACTCATTCCACAGCCCCAGAGTTAGCTCCCTGAGGCGACGGAGTTTCTCTGTGTGGAGGCATTTTCTCCCAGTCTTCTCTTGGCACAGAGAAGCTAGCACAGAGAAGCACAGTGTGCTCAGGGGAGCTCAGTATCACTTCTATGGACAGCTGTGACTGAGGAAGATGGCTTCGTAGAAGAACCTGTAAGTGTACTGGAAGGAACTGCAGTTGAAGCAACAATACTTAAGAACCAATGAGAGCAGCACCAGGGAAAACTAGCATCTGCAAGGGAAGCAGCAATTACAATCACTCTGCAACTCTGGCAGAGAAGTCAGTGCAAGTCCAGCATTTTTAGTTCTGCACTCCCCCCACCCCATACCATTTACGAGAATATTCTGAGTTAAGAACGAATTCATTTCTGCTGTGTTAAGGATTTAGCATTTGTAGGAAATGAGTGAAATTTTCTGACTAGGATTCCAGGTCGGAGGGGTGCTTATTTTTACCAAGCTCTCTGTAATAGGAAATGTGGAGGGCGCTATCCTTTTTTTTTTTTTTTTTAATTTTTTTGACATTTTATTTGACATTTTATTTTATTTTATTTTGCATTTATTTTATTTTTGTTATTTGACATTTTATCCTTTTGCACTGTTGATTCCTTTTGCATTGTTGATTCCCCACTGCTAAGGTTCCTGGGCGGTAGCTTTAGCAGTCAGCAGGTGAAGGATTAGAACGTTAGAACTCAGCCTCAATCCATTTTTCTTTTACCCCACTTCCTTTTCACTTCAAGGGCTCTAGCCTTAAGACGTAGATTCTCTAAGGCCTTGTTTCCTTTCACACTCCTCTGGGGCTTACCAACAACATCGTGCAGGTAATCTTATCCCAGCATCGCTGCTTTAGATTCTTGATAGAAGGCCTAAAAAAACAAGAGTGAGAGATTTTTATATCAATCCTTTCTAAAAAAATTTTGAGAGATAAAGAGAGAGAGAGAGAGAGCAAGCGCAAGCTCACAAGTAGGGGGAGAACCAGAGGGAGAAGCAGGCTCTCCACTGAGCAGGGAGCCTGACTAGGGACTCAGTCCCAGAACCCTGAGATCATGACTGTAGCCCTAGGCAGACACTTAACCGTCTGAGCCACCCAGAGATCCCTAAATGCTTAAACTGAGATTAAGAGATTTTATGGGGGGCGCCTGGGTGGCTCAGGTCATGATCCCAGCGTCCTGGGGGCTCTCTGCTCAGCAGGGAGCCTGCTTCCTCCTCTCTCTCTGCCTGCCTCTCTGCCTACTTGTGATCTCTGTCAAATAAATAAATAAAATCTTAAAAAAAGGTTGGGGGAGGGCGCCTGGGTGGCTCAGTTGGTTGAGCAACTGCCTTCAGCTCAGGTCATGATCCCAGACTTACAGGATCGAGTCCCGCATCGGGCTCCCAGCTCCTTGGGGAATTTGCTTCTCCCTCTGACTTTCTCCTCTCTCATGCTCTCTCTCACTCATTCTCTCTCAAATAAATAAATAAAATCT